AATGTGGCCATTACATCACCCTTAACCACACTCCAACATTGCTGGAAAAAAGTCATTGTGAAACCATCCAAGCCTGGTGCTTTATCCCCACTCATAGCCCGCAAGGCCCCAAACACCTCCTCTTCTGTAAAAGGATGCTCCAACCTCTCCCTATCCTCGCCCAGGATCATATCAAACTGAACACCTTCCAGCCCCGGCCTCCATGCCCCTTCTTGTTGCCAGAAAAGATACTGATAAAAGCCCACTACCCCCTCCCAAATATCCACATCTGTGTGCAGCTCTCGGCCGTATCCTACTGATCTAATTAACCCTCTGATGAGCATTCGCCATCCGATGGAAGAATTTTGTATTCCGATCCCCATCCTTCAACCACAGACATCCATACTTTTGTCGGAAACAGACCTCCTCTAAACGAGATATATAAACAAAATCCTGTCTAGCCGCCTCCTTTCGGACACCATCATCTATAAACATCCCACCTTGAACCTCTAGCTCATCCAAGGATTGAAATAAGGACACCACCGCTGCTTTTTTACCCTCTAGCCGACTAAACACATCTTTATTCCACTTTTTTAATTCTGCTTTCAGCAACTAAGAGAACCAAGAAACATGTAACTATTCCACCATCCACAGACCAACTCCAAGAGGCCCTCCTTTTGCAGCCACATATTCTCAAAACAAAAATGTCATGGGACCATGACGAATCCCCCCACTATCAAGCAAAATAGGCCAATGGTCAAACACAGGCCGAGGTAAACGGATCTGAACAACCTCAAAAAAATGCGCCTCCCAGCCCCCAGTAACCAGAAACTAGTCAAGTCGAGACAAACTCTGCCTATTTGACCAAGTGAAACTGCCTCCCTAGATAGGTAAATCAACCAAGTGCAATTCATCAATAAAATAACAAAAAGCCCTCATTGCGCCCGAGCTCCTAATAGTCCCCACCTTCTCTAATGGCAAACAAACAACATTAAAATCACCCCACACACCATGGCACATCCCAGCGAAACGCTATGTTCTCTATCTCCTCCAAGAACATACCCCGCTCAGAATTTTGCACATGCCCATACACCCCAGTAAAATCCCATCGAAAATTATCCTCCCCATATCGAAACAAACAGGATACAAAAAAGCCACCAACCTCCTCCTCCTCCTCCTCCTCCCTCACCAACACCCTTCGATCCCAACAAAGAACCCCACCCGCTGTGCCCAATGAGGGCAGAAATGTCCATTCCACAAATCGCCCCCCCCCCAACACACCTCGCAAATCAACTCCGCCCCTACCACCGCCATCTTCGTCTCTTGTAAACACACAACGTCAACTTTGGCACTCCGCAACACTACCTTCACCGCCACCCTCTTATCTTTATCATTCAAACCCCGCACATTCCACGATACGATTTTTAATTTCATTTCAACAGCAATGGTCCCCTTCGATCTCTCCTTCCACTCTGTCCTGCATTTTTCACTCTATGATCATAATTCACAGTCAAGGTTGTTAAAATCGGGATCCTACGTTGGATCGTTGAAGGTGTTTATAGGATCGGATCGTAGAATCGGATCGAGGATCGTAAGATCCTACCGAAAATGGCAAATTACATAATAATTTAATTTAAATAAATATTTATTATAAAGTACACACAAAATGAACCTATATTTTATTAAAAAGAAGTGAAGATATTGTGAAAAATATAATACTCCATATAAAATGTACATATAATATTATGCAATAGAAAACTCGATGGTAAAAGTTCTGTATTTTATCAAAAAAGAAGGTGAAGAAGAAGAAGAATTCTATAACAAAATACTTTACAATGTACAATAATGAATAAAAAGTGAAGAAAAAATATTTAACAAAATTGGATATGAAAATAGATTAAGAACTCAAAAGAGTAGCTTAGTTGAATGATAAGGTTTGTCGTTAGCATCCCTGGTGGAGCGGATTCGAGTCACAAAAATAATTTTTTCAGAAATTGGGATAAAGTTACAATCATCTTACCCTTCTTAGACTCCGCTAAAGCTAAGTTTGTTTTTCCGACTATTTAATTTTCTTAAATTACCGCAATATTTGAATGTTTGTTTCCTAGTTTATTTTTCTTAGTCTATTTGATTCAATGCTACTTAATTTTTGTTATTTATTTTGACAACATAAATTAATATTTAGACAACAAATATAAAATTTACAACAAAATATGTCATACAATACAAAACAAGGCTTGTAAATTGGATCGGATAGGATCGGATTCGGATCGGAATTCCACGATCCTATAAGATCCAACTACCAGGATCGAAAGATCCTACCTATAAGGAGTTTTTTACACGATCCGGATCAATTGCACTCAAATGGATCGTAAGATCGTAGGATCGTAAGATCCGGAGCGGGATTTTGATAACCATGTTCACAGTACATTCCAAATTTTTCAGCTCTCGATTACCTTTACAAGGGGTCACAGAGGCCATAGACACCCCTTGACTGAGTGGCCCTTGTCGCCACGACGCCTCTACTGCTACAAACAATTGCATTGCCTCCTCTTTGTGGCCTTCAAATGATAAACCCAAACAACGGCTGACTTCACTAATACGTTCCAACACCCACTCAGACACAACCTCAGCCGAAGGAATCTCATCCCCAGTCAATTCATCGCTAGCACTGAACTCCCTCTGTTTCTATCTCAGACATACCGCCAGATCTCTTTCCTCCACTGCTAAGGGTTGCAGCACCATGACCTGCGAGTCTCCACGACTGTCGTGCCCCTGCCCACCTCGATCGTCCCAAGTCACACCTCTGGGCATCTCTGTTTCAGCCTGGGTCTCCCGTTTTTCCGACTCCGAACTCTCCGATCGAGAGCTAGCACCTTCCACTTCTGCGATCAACTGCAACCCTGGTTCAACAGCAGATAGGTCTCGACGAACCACCAACTCCAACCCCAACGGCGACTCAAATCATCAGCAACGAGCACCAGCTTCTAGCGAATCCACCTGACCCATAGCACCTGGGTTTGTGTCGCACAAAACACTACAACCCGCTCCACTAGCAAGCCAACCCACATTAGTAAAATCGGATTGAACTTTGGGCTTCCCAGAATGACCCAAATCATCCCTTATTGGGCTTGAGTCAAGCTAAAGAGCCTACTCCTTTAGCGTCCTTGGCCCACAAGTGATGCCCCTTATTATTAATCACAGCCCACCTGCATTGGCCCACTACGCCTTTACTAGCTTCCTGGGCCTTGCTCAAGCCCACCTACCCCTCCTTGGCCCCCCTTTGATAGCCCACATCCACCCCCACATGCTGGGTGTTGTAGCCCCGAAAACCCATGGACCTCTTATTCTTCCTAAATTTTTGCAAATATTCAGTCACCCCAAATCTCCACAAGACTCCATGCGTTGATGGCCCAAAATCCCTCATTTCCATGTACGAACCTGATACCCCCTCTTTCCCGGTCGTCGACGACCTCAGCTCCACCACCGGCTCAACCTCAACCCATTCTAGCAACGCGAACTGCCACATCCCCCAGCGGAGGGAGACTTGCGCTGGCAAATTCTCAGAACATCGCACGCGTAGCTAAATTGAGCCCAGATCCACCGACGACACATCCGCCTCCACAAAGCCACCACACCGATTGCCGAAAAAATGATACACCTCTTCCCACGGAGATAAATCGACAGACCCATCACCCGAATCCAAACACTCTTCTCAAGCCTAAAGTGCTGCCTTGAAGTACAGAGAGCCAATAGGGACCACCACACCAACAGTAGATCACACCCCTCCACCGTCCACCTCCGACGCAACAGTGTCTCCGCCTCACCTTTGGAGGAAAAAACGAACTAGAAGGCTATGTCTCCCAATAGTCGCACCTCCACCTTCCCCAAATGCCGTCACCAGCGCCTAACCCAATCGAAGATCACCCGAATCCAAACACTCTTCTCAAGCCTAAAGTGCTGCCTTGAAGTACAGAGAGCCAATAGGGACCACCACACCAACAGTAGATCACACCCCTCCACCGTCCACCTCTGACGCAACAGTGTCTCCGCCTCACCTTTGGAGGAAAAAACGAACTAGAAGGCTGTGTCTCCCAATAGTCGCACCTCCACCTTCCCCAAATGCCGCCACCAGCGCCTAACCCAATCGAAGATAGTCACGAAACTCAAACCTTTTCCACCCATCCCCCCCATCTTGCCTACCAGCAACCTATCCAACATCCGGAACCACTTCACCTCCACCCCAACACTGACGGCCCCTTCAGATTCTTCAGTGGCTGATGACAGTGACCCAAAGTGGAACATCACCTTCCTCGAAGCAATAGGTCGCGATACCCTCGCATCGATCAACCCGAAGCCATCGATGACCAGCGCCACCCCTTCCCAACCATCACTGAACTCGGACATAGGTATGAAAATTTGGTCGCGCCGCTTCCCTGTTGTCACCACTACTTGAACTGACGACCCCCCTCCTTCCTCACCTCGAACCTAAAGTGCTATAGTTCGATTACCCCCACTTAGACGACCCAAAAGCCTGAAGTTACCTGGTTCCGTAGATGCTAACTTCAATCAGGCCACAATCCAACGAGCCTCCGAGTCATTCAACAGCACTGCCCGTCGAAGCCCCTCCCCCCTCTTAACAATGGATAACTAGTGTTTCCCAATCACTCCCACTGACGTCTCCTCAAACTCGAACGACCGGCCGCCGAGGAAAAGTATCCGCCGGCATGGCCCAACTTCTTTCTTAACTGGGAATATTACCTTCCTAAAATCGCGGACCCATATCAATCTATGTTTTTTTGCCTAATATTAATAAAATTGGTTGGTTTTTTTCAATGACTCATCACTGAACAGACAATATAACCTCATGAATTCATGATATTAACAAGTTCATCTAACAAACATTTTCTGAGTAATTTCTCCACCACATGAATATTTTCTGTGAAAGAATTGGAAGGAATCTCATAATATTTTCTTGCAGTGGCTAAAAAAGTCTAAGGTTCTTGACATGATGTACAAACCTCTTGAGCAGACTGAGAAGTCTGCGGAGACAACACTGTAACATTCCCATTGTACTTGACTGTAACTCCAGGTGAATGGAAGGGAGAAATGCGGCCATCACTATCAGTGCCAGACCGATAAAATTGGGCATAACAGCTGGCTGCATCGAATGGTTGTGGAACCTATACACAAAGATATGGAGCCATTGCAAAACACTCTTAGAAGTAGCTTAAAACTATAAATTAATATCCATAAACATAATTATATATCTTGAGAAATTTATAATTAGAAACTAAAAAGTAATGTTACCATTTAGAAACGTAACATTACTTGATGTAATAACCCTTTTATTAACCAGCCATGAGCAAGTTAACGATATGTAAAAATGAGATGCATTAAACATAGTTATCTTGAACAACAAACAGCAGAAGGAACACAAGAACTAAAAACTTACAACAAAGCTTGGGAGCCGGGGAACATCACGTGCTTGAGACTCAGAGCTTTCAAATGGTGCAAGCTGGCTTCCAACCATTGGCGGCATGAAACCAAAACTGTAGCTGGGAGAAGTATGAATCATTGAATATTGGTGGTTTCCAGGCAAAGCAGTCTCTTGCTTAGACTCACTGTACTCTGGAACCGCAGTGGATGAGGTGTCGCCCTCACCAGAGGATAAATTTTCCGGTCCATGTGCAGGTGATTGGGGATGATCAGGATAATCACCTTCCTCAGTAGTTTCGAGTGCATTTTGATTGCTGAATCCAATGATAATATGAGTAAAAAAATGGGGAAGCACAATACTTACAATTCAGAAGTTCACAAAATGTTAGATATCCATGTACAGAATACACTACCTTAAGGGGACAAAAATTCAAAATCTTTATTAGAACTACACACACAGCTTCAGTAATCTAGAGCAAGGAATTATTTGTACAGTAAAACATCCTTGTCTGAAAAATCATTTCCTATCTGGCCACTGGTAGACTGTAGAATCATATAACCATTATGCAGAATATTGGAATAGATTAACTAAAGGCCAATCAGCATCCTAGGTTGGCAGGGATTGCCAGAGTAGAGAATTTTCTACTTCAAAAAGCAAGGGGATGTTAACTAAATCCCCGAATTTCCACTAACCAGCCAAGAAAGACCAAATCCACATAGACTAGCAACTCCACTGCATCGTATGTGTATCATGTGACTACTCATTCCCAGCTCACAGTTATGATGATGTATCAGTAAGTATATAAAATTTCTTACATGACGGCTCAAACTAAAAAATACACTAATAATATCATTACTAATATAATATCGTAATGAAAAATAAATATTATTTGATAACTAATAGCAAGTCATCATTTTACGATGAGGCCTCTTCATTCTTGCCCGCCCAATGAAAATGGCATAGTAGTGAATTAACTTGTCTTGGGCACAGCTTAAAATTCGGACATGGTGGGTGTCAAGTCAAAACGTAATTAAAACATGATAAAATTACTATAAAATTAGAGGTTCTTCCTCTGGTCTATTCAATCCCATGAGATAAGTCAAGGGTGTCCAGTTCTTCTTAGCTCCAAAGATAAAAGGGAATTAAAGACATTGACATCCATCATCTTAGCAAAACCAAATCAGAAAAGAGAAGAAACTAAAATTATCAAACCTGGAGGAGTGCTCCTCTGTCTCTTCAACACTCTCAGAAGTTTCAGAAAGAGGTGTGGGGTTTCTGTCATTCTCAGACCCACTTATATTGCTTGGGTTTAAACTAAAAGTAGCATCAAAACTTCCAAAACAAAAACCAATTTTTTCAGTTTCAGGGACATGGAGATGATTTGGGATGATAACATGTTGAGCATCTGAGAAATGTAACTCCTCTAGCTTCCTCTGTAGCCTTGAAGTGGCTTCTTTTGAATCAAGGACACTCAAATCAGGGCATGACTGGGTATTAGCCTCCGCTGTGGTAGGAACCTCAGATGAACCAGCTGTCCCAGGCCCTTGAGCAAGATTTGAGTTTGTTGGCTTTGGTTTCCACTCCTTACTAGGGCCCACTGTTGGAAAATAAAGGAACTATTAGTTGATTGTGGACCTTGACGAAGACATCCAAGACATAGAGTAGCAATTGATATGCATTTTAAACTTACTTAAATAACTTCTTTAATAAGATGAGCCTCAAACTAATTGGCATACACTGTATGTATTCTTATTTTCCTATCATTTATAGATTGTTCCCATTTCACATTTCAATTACCTTAGAGCCTTAGGGTGAATAAGGAAATGGTTCACTGTTTTTTTGGGTTGCCAAAAGGATATGCCTAAACCTAAACAAAAGGGATGCATCTGAATTTAGTAAAGCCCCAAAGCAGCTAATCTCTCCCCTATGTAGGGGGGATAAAAACCCTTCAGTAGAATACTTGAATACAGATGCCCAGAGTAAATTTAAAACTCAGCTACAAACGCAACTCATTAGAATAAAGGGCTCATGAGTACAAGACTAACAAATGTTTAGATTAGAAGCTTTAAAAGGGTTGGCAAAATCTTATTATCTGTAAAAAAAAATTAAAGATAACAAGACAAAAAAATAAAAAAATAGAAGAAGAAGAAGAAGGAGAAACTATCAAATTGCAGAGGAGAAAAGTCACATTCATTGTACTAATATGACGATGTGCTACTAAATTTTACGATTTGTATTATTCAAATATTACCACAAACCTTCCAAAGAATCTAAGTTAACAGAGGTGCCACCTCCAAACACCTTCAAGCAATACCCAATGTAGTAATGGTAGTAACAGCGGAAGCAGTAACATAAAATGTGTCTAATATACAAAAGTACCTTTTTGAGGTCCAAAAACTTGTTGCAACCTGCTATTGTAATTAGACGAAGACCTAATAACAGAAGAGCCACCATGAGTAGAAGACGCAGGTTGTGTAGAATCTGAAAGTTGATTATTTCCTGCCCCCATGGATTTGTTTGGCATTTTTTCTTGCATGGAGGAACTCCCAACCTCAGAAACTGCTGTTTCAGTCATTAACAAAAAAACAAAGGTCATAAGCTTCTATTTCAAGTCAGGTGAAAACAATGTGATAACAATATGCTTATCCAAACAAGATTTGCAAAGTCCTGACCAGCAATTGATTTGCCCTCAGAAGGGACAAGAGAAATCTGTTCAACAGGAGTTCGCTGGCTTCCCACCTCACGTTTAATTGCACCCATAGCACCGGGAAGTCGTGAATCATGAGATGGCACCAGAACAGGATCTGAAGCCGAGAAATAGTCTCCAGTAGAAGGTGCCTGAGTCCCAGCAGTTGAGCTGCCACTTGAGCTTGTCATGGGCTGCCGCTGTGTGTGCCCTGTTCCAAATTCAATGCTGGGGTTTTCCTTTGCATCAACCAGGTGCGGAAGTGGTGGTGGACCCCCCAATTTACTAAAGCCAACTGCTGAACTACCTTCAGACTGGTTAACCAAACACCCTGAAGACAAATTACCAGCATGCAGAACACCAGCGCTCCCAGGAGCCACGGCAGTGGGACCATTAGGTATGACAGAGAGAGTGCTGCAAAACATTAGAACAAAAGGCTTGTAAGATCTTTACCGCACACAATCCAAAACTACATTGTTTGTTGCAAGCACAAATGGACTTGAAAATTTAAAGGACTGTTGGGTCAAGTCAAAGCAAAACATATTGTAACATTGTTCAAACATTTATTGCAGAGAGTAGCACCTTGTGGCAGGAGTGATTTCTTTATTGTTAGTCTCCTGAGAGGTAGGCAAATATGACAACCCAACATCCTTATCTGTAACTTGATTGATAACATTTTCCTTTCCAGGAGCAGAGTTTCTGCCACCTCTAGCATCTGACAAGAGGAGTATATGAGAAAAAAAAGAGCTGATGTAGACATGGACAAATAACTGACAAACTACATAGGAATGTTGCAAGATATATGATCATTGCAAATTTATACATAAAAAATGCAAAACATTTATATAGGAGAAAAAAAATTAGAGGGATACCCCCATGTACGACACATTTTGTACCTATGTCTCATTTGGCATTGTATTTGTAGCTTGGAAGCACGTCTTGGCTGTCAAGGTAATATATGTTGGTTTACATGTTAAAGCACTTCACAATGAAAAGAAAAAAAAGGCCAAAAAAACCTAAAGGATCAACCCTCTCAAGTAATGCAATTGTGGCTGAATGACCCTTTGTGTAGGATGATTGACAGAGCTATTCAAGAGGAAAGGCTTAAAGTGTCCTTCACCTCAACCTACATTGCAGATAATAAAAATGTGGCAGTTGTTGATTATGTTATTTTGGATGGCCAACATGTTTTTTGGGGGCATCTGTTACTTAAGGCAACTACATTGGGGGTGTTCATGTAACCCATGGACCCGCCCAAACCACCCGACCAGGGCCAACCCGGGCTCTTATGGACAGTTTCGAGGATCAGCACAGGTAGAAGTAGTACACACCCAGCCAGCCTGTCCCTACCAAATAAATATTGATATATATTTATTTTTTATTGCCTTGGTCTTATCTCCTCAGCCTGTCAAACAGACAGGTTGTTACACTTCCTCCCACGTCTCACGGTAATACATTCTAGGTCTGTCGATTTTCTAGATCCATTAACACTCACCTCTCTCTTCATTCTAAGTATATTGATTTTCCATAACCATTAACATTCACCTCTCTCTCCCTCTCTTTATTCTAAGGCCTCGTTTGGGAACACGCTAATTTAGTAACTTTTTGGCTATTTGGCTAAAATATGAGCTAAAAAAAATTAGTATGTTTAGGATGACTTTTTGGCTTTTTATGAAAAGATGTGCAAAAAGTAAAGAGAAAATAGAATTTTTGACTTTTTGGTATGGGTTGTTGGCTTTTTGGTTTTTTTTAGTGACTTTTTAGCTTTTTGGCTAAAAAAGTTACTTTCCAAACGAGGCCTAAGTCTCCATTTTCCATAACCATACACACACTGTCCATAACTGTTCACTCTCTGTCTCTCATAAACCCCAAGAAGTCCAAAAAACGAAGAGACCCTACGTCCCTCTTCATTCTCAGATCTGGTCTCTTCCTTTTTCTCCTCTTCTTCTCTCCCTTTGAGATTCAAACACGTACTCATCTCTCAGTCTCTCCCTTATATCTGCTTCTCTCTTTTCCCTTCCAACTTCAACGTGGTGATGACGACAATGATCAATGGTAATGGCGGCTTCCATGTGTGGTAGCAACGGAGCCAATGAGTGAGGGTGATGGTGATGGTGATGGTGATGGTGATGGTGATGGTAAGTTCCCTCTCTCATCTTTTCCCCCATTTTCTCTCCTTTTTGCTTTCTTAGATCTATATATATATATACTAGTTGACATAGGACGTGTTACAATATGTTTAAGTTTTGTATTTTGATAATTTTTTAAAAATTTCAACTAGTGTTTTATGAAATTGAAAAGAATAAATCATTAGATATATGATAGAATTATGTGGTATGATATGTATCATTTTTTATTTGTTATACACCCAATGATGTCGACTCCAATTCTATTATCATATCATTTTGGGTGAATTTATTAGTTTTTAACATTTCTTCCGAATTTATAAAACAAAAAAACAAAAAAAAAACAAAATTATGGTGCATAGATTTTCTCAACAGATAAATATAAAACAAATACTAAAATAATTCTTCCAGCTTAAAAAAACTACTAAGATAAGTCACTGAACCAATAAAGAAGCAAAAGAAAATACATACATACACAAATAACTAATTTTATTAATACATAAATCATACTTGCATAACAAATGATCAATTTTATTCATAATTAAATCATTAAGTAAATTAAATTAATGTTATTCAGTTAACCATTTTGCTAATAAATAAATCATTAAGTCAATTAACAATTTTTCATGATATGAGAAATATTTTTTAATAAAAAAATTTGATAATTTATTATTGCATAGGAGAATAGTTTTTTTTTTCCCCTTGAGTATTGTGTTAAATTAAAATTTATAACAAACGATAGTTGTAATTTCTAGTATTATAGGACAGATTCATATTTTAAACAAATTTTATGGGTGTACTTGTAATTTGTTAAAAAATAAAAGATTTATATTTCATAATTAACCAAGAATAATTGCGTAATTACAAGAAAACCTATTTCATAATTGACCAAGAATATTGACATAATTACGGAAAAACCTGTTGCATAATTGACCAAGAATGATTATATAATTACAAAAAAACCTTAACTCAACATGTAAACTACCATTAGTAAATTATTTAAAATGAAAGGGCAAAATAAGAAGAAAAAAAAGACGAGCCATGGGGAAGAAAGAGCTTCTTATATATATATAGATATATATATATATATGTATTTATATTTGAGTTTTACAGTTTTTTATTATGAAATTCTTTTTTTCACAATTTTTTTTTCCACCTTTCTCTACTAGATGTTTGAAATCTACCGAACCGACCGCTAAACCAAGGTCTTTCATTCGGTCGATTTCGGACAATGAGTCGGTCAATAACGGATTACTGCTTTGCCAAATTGATGGTGCCGGTTCAGATGGCAGACCAAGGGTGTACCCTAGCCAAACCGACCCATGAACACCCCTAAACTACAAGAATGGGAGATTGGTGAACTTGAAGAGGTCCTTCCCTGTTACACAATCCAGATCAAGTGGAATGGGTCTAGGTCCAGCAGTTTGAAGTGAAGTCTTTCTATGAGCTTGTGTTGGGTGACAAGGGATGTGTCTTCCCTTGGAACGGTGTTTGTGGGTCAAAAGCTCCCACTAAAAGTAAAGCATCTTTTGCTTGTACTGCGGCACATGGGACAATTCTTAACATTGACAACCATAGGAGACAGATTAAGGTAAATTGATATTGCATGCATAAGAAAGATAAAAATCATCTACTTGCTGATTGTGAGATGGCCTATAGTCTATGGCGATTGGGCTGGTTGGGGTAGATTGGGCCATTCTAAACGAGGTGGAGGATCTCTTTTACTCATCGATAGGAGCAAGGGTTGAGAAAAGAAGGAGAAGGCCATTGAGCAAGGGTGTCGTTTGCTCTAATGTGGATTATTTGGCGAGAATAGAATAGGATGACTTTCAAAGGTGTACAGATGTCATACTTCAAGCTTCAGAGTTAGCTTTTGTCTATTTCGTACATTTGGTTCTAGGATGGTTGTGAACCCTCCTTAGATCAATTTTTGAATTTTGTAGAGTCTTTTCAGTGATACTTAAATAATGGTCTTGTCTTTCTTATAGGTTGAGTGGGCCTTCCCCTTTTGGTTTTGTGCACAGGTGTCACCTCCTTGGTGCCTTTTTAAATGAATGAAATACATACATACTTAAAAAAAATTACTAAATTTGGGTTCTTATGGAATCTGGGTTACTGCGGTGTTTGATAAAGATTATTTTTTTTAGTTTTAGACATATTTAGAATTAGTTTTTAGTCCTACCTAGTTTATAAAACCTATATTTAATAGAAAATAGAAAATCCTTTTCCTAGTAGGAAAACCACGTGGCTTCTATATAAGCAAGTCTTTGAAGTACAATTAGACAAGTTGGTAAATAATGTTTCTCTGCAGATTTTAGCACTTTCAATGGTGAGGTTAGACTCCAAACTTTCTTAATTTGTTTCATATAAAGTAGCAGAATTTCTTGCTGAAATGAAATGTATAACGGTTAAGCGAAAATAATAAAAATTGCAATGTCCGTATATATACACAAATACATGCATGTATATGTGTACATTATATATATATATATAGAGAGAGAGAGAGAGGAGACACAAACTTGCCCTTGAAAAATAATTACTTGGGGCATGGAAATAATGGCAATGGCTAAGGCTATTTTTCTATTTCTTTTGATAAGGGAGGTGACAACTTGTTACCCTAACTTTGGAGATATCAATTATGTCAGCTAAAAACAAACAAGTGTAATGTATCCCTCCAAAGTTGAATATAGAATCATGAACAAGAGAGATTGCCAAGCTTTCAGTTTATATGGGTCAAGCAAAAAACACTCTGATCAATTTATAGTTATTTCAACAGGCAAGGGCACTTCAACAAGCTTGAATTAAATCAGGTTCAACAAAGCAATCACAAAAAAATGCAACATAATCCATTTATAGTTATTTCAAAAGGCAATGGTATTTCTCAACAGGCAATGACATCAAAATAGTGGATTACCATTCAATATGTGACGAGAATAGTTCCCCCGCCCACCTCTACTCCCACGCCCTTGCATACCAGTTCTCCACCTCAATTCTGTAGGCTCTTTGTTGCTCAAGTTCTACAGGAAATATAAACACAGAGAGACCAAAACACATATGAAGGACAAAAACATGGATCAAAAGAACGTGACTAATATAAATACTTGTCATATCCACTATGTACAAGAGAAAGAACCATGGCATATATCTCTCTAAAATCCTATTTCTAGCCACAGTAATTCCAATTTAGGCATTTAATTTAGCATCATAATAGTATTAACTGATATTTTAGCTGGTTTGTAATTCCAGAACAACCCCAGGTGAAATAAATTTAGGGTCATGCTAATGACAGCCATGGCTGTTGTTAAGGTAAGGGTAATGCCAAAATAGTTAGAATCCCAATGCACTTCTCACATATTTCCAAACACTATTACATACTTCTATATACTTTTCACACATTTCTATCCAGCAACTCAACTCTGCGTATGTAGTAGTTAAAGTCATTCAACAAAATAGAATGGGTGTTTTGCATCATAAACCATGGCTGCATGGCACCTTGACACTGTCAATTTATTATAAGAGAAAGATGGCAGATTGCACAGGATTGTTGCACTAGTAAAATAAATAAATCATTATTAATTAAACCAAACAAAATATAATTTTTAATTTAAGTCCTATAGACTAGGTGAAACCCATGCTCATTTTTGTCCAAGACTACATTTGGGCACTTGTCAAAGAATCAACAAAAAAAAAGGGCACAAAACCAGAGAAGTTCGATATAAAAAAATATGTATCATAAATAAAATAAAATAAAACAATAAAAAGGCAGATAGCTGGAGAAGTTTCATAATAAACTCATACAGAGACAGAAACATAGGCAAGTCCCTACGAATGGATTTTTGGACAAGATTACTTTGTCCATAATCTCGTCTATCTTAAAGCATGGCACTCATTTTTGTTTATAAATTATACATACGTATTAATGGAAAATTTTGGTAAATTCATCAATATAAAATGCAACACTAACAATTCCACTACAAACTCATAAAATTATCATACCTCTTTTCTCCGATCACGTTTCCGTTTAACCTCATGGAACGTATCTGTAAAACCATAATATGCTTTTGTTATATTGCTTTAATGGGAGGATTAAAGTAAAAATAATATTAATAGAACAGGAATACCCATTACAACATATAATCTTAAATTCGATAAGATTCCCATTCAACGAAAGCTAAATAGACATAGCACACTTTAAAGAAAAAGGAAAAACAATTGTGCCATAGGAAACATCTGAGTTAAACAATGCACAGAACAGTCTTGTAGGATGAGCACCCTATGTAACTATTAAGTGTTAGGGGTAGTTTGGTCTTTATGTATTATTCTTATTAGTATATATAGTTGTGTGTAAGAGGGAAACCTATGTTTTTTTAATCAAATAATAGAGCTGTTGTTTCTCCCCCTCTCCATCTCGGTTGAATTTCTTCTTCTCCTTCTCATCTATACATTCAACATGGTATTAGAGCAATATCTTCCTCCTTGAAGATTGTTCCTCTCCTTCCTCCCTCCTTCTTGAATCTGGTACGTTTCAAAAAAAAAATTTCCAATATGCTCGAAAATTAATGGGCATTCTTCCTATAATTTTATTTTGATTTTTTGATTATTATTGATTGTGTTTTCCAATTTTTTTTGTTTTCTCGTCAAAAATGGGTGATTTTTTGAAACTCACTGGTTGCACCCTTTTTGATTGATTTTTTCCCTCCCTCTCACATCCTGGGGAGCCGACTGCTTGTCTAGAGGGGTGTGATGTCCTTGTTTTGCTGTATTTTGGCTCTACCTTGGTTTTTTTCCTAAGTTTTGGATGATCTGCTTCAGTGTTTGGGCTCCTAGTTGACCTGGTTACTTTATTCTGAGATTATTTTGCACTGTTTTAGCCTTAGAAGGTTCCTTCTTGTGCTAGTTAGGTGTTGTCAGGCTTTGTTTTGAGATACTGCTTGTGTTTCTACCCAATCTCTCTCTTTTCTCATGGCTGAACGCGAGGGTCAGTACTCTAAGGACAAGGAGGACAGTGGACTGAGTCGTGGTATGCCTCTTCGTGATAGTCCTTCTCTCCAAATTAGTCTGGTCAAGCTTAATGGCACCAATTACTTGATTTGGTCCCGCTCCTGCAGTCTTGCCATTGCCGCCCGGCGTTTGACTGGTTATATTACTAGTAGTACCAAGCACCCTACTAAGGACAGTGCTTTATCTGCTCAATGGATTTCTGAGAATGCTTTACTGATGACTTGGCTGATCAATTCTATGGAACCTACCATTAGTAGGACTTTTCTCTTTATGGATACCACTCACAAGATCTAGATAGATGCCTCTCAGACGTATTCTCAAAAGGGTGATGATGCCCAGACCTATGAATTGAGGAAGAAGATTAGGGGCTTGGATCACAAGGATCGCTCTCTGGCAAGAGCTAGATTTCTACCAGAGTTTTCAGCCGGTTTGCTCCACGGATGCCACTAAGTTTCGGCAGACTGTGGAGAAGGAGCGGGTGTATGACTTTCTTGCTGGCCTGAATTTGGAGTTTGATCAGATACGGGTTCAAGTGCTGGGTCGCTCTCCGTTTCCCACCTTGCGTGAGGCTTATGCACTGGTTCAGCAAGAGGAGAGTCGTCGTAGTGCTATGGTGCATGCCCCTGTTCAAGATCGGTTAGCGATGGTTGTCGGCCCCAATTCACGCGATACTCCACCTTGTCAGCCTCAGGGTGGTGGTAAGGGTCCATTGGTTGATCGGGACTGGTTGAAGTGTGATTATTATGGGAAAGATAGACATGATAAAGAAAACTATTGGAAGTTACATGGTCGGCCTCCTCTAGGCCGTGGTCATGGTCGTGGTGTTCGTCCTCAAGCACATGTTTTCGAGACTACTGCTAGTGCCTCGGATGATGTTGGTTCTATTTCCCAAGATGAGCTTCACACTCTCAGGCGTTTAATGGCTCAACTTGATGCTTCATCCACCTTAGCTCCTTCCTCTTCTGCCTCTTCCAACTTTGCCCACACAAGTATTTCTGCTAGTGCACTTAGTACCTCTTAGTCGTCTCCTTGGATCATTGACTCCGGTGCTACCGATCACATGACAGGTACTTCTAGTTTTTTCCATTCTTATTCACCTAGTTCTGGGTAAGATAAGGTTAGAGTGGCTGATGGCACTTTATCTTCTATCTCTGGCAAGGGTTCTGTTCATTGCACCTCTTTACTTTCGCTTTCACCCATTCTTCAGGTTCTTAATTTTTCCACTAACTTACTTTCGGTTAGTAGCCTTTCAGGAACTGGCTACGGGGAAAATGATTGGCAATAGTAGAGTACAAAGTGGACTGTACTTTCTGGATGCCATTCCTATATCAACTTTGTCCTCTCGGGCTCTTCAATGCACTTCTAGCTCCTCCCTCTGTCTTGTTCATCAGTGGTATCGCCGGTTGGGTCATCCTTCCTTTAGTATTTTAGAGAAACGTTTTCCTTCATTAGTTCGAGATTATCCAAACAACAACTTTGTTTGTGATGCTTGTGAGCTTGCTAAGCATAAACGTACTTGTTATCCTTCAATTAATAAAAAAAGTACTTTTCCTTTTATGCTTATTCATACCAATGTGTGGGGTCCTTCCCTTGTGGTTTCTACCTTTGGTTATCGGTGGTTTGTTACGTTTATTGATTGTTATTCTTGTGTGACTTGGATTTATTTACTTCGCACTAAAAATGAGGTTTTCTCATGTTTTAAACTTTTTTAATAAAATGGTATCCGATCTCTTCAATACTACTATCAAAATTCTTAGAAGTGATAATGAGACTAAATATGTTGATGGAGCTTTCAGGGGGTACCTCCAAGAACATGGCATTCTTTATTAGACTAGTTGTGTTGGCACTCCTGAACAGAATGGAGTTGTTGAACGCAAGAATGGCCACCTCCTTGAGGTTGCCCGCTCTCTCTTGTTTACCATGAACGTTCCTAAGTCTTTTTGGGGAGATGTTGTTCTTACAACAGCTTACCTTATTAACCGTATGCCCTTTAGTGTCCTCCACTTCCAAATTCCTCTTGAGCTTCTTCCTGTGACTTATCCCACTTCTTCCCTTCCGCCTCGGGTGTTTGGTAGTGTCTGTTTTGTTCATCTTCAACCTCGTACTCATGGGAAACTTGATCCTAAGGCTGTCCGGTGTGTCTTTCTTGGTTATTTTGCTACTCAAAAGGGCTACAAATGCTATAACCCTCATTCTCATAAGCTGTCTGTTAGTATGGATGTCACCTTCCGTGAATCTGAGTCCTTTTTTCTTGTCCTCCGCTATCTCCTCGGGGGGAGAGTGGTATTGATGAGATTGCGGATGAGACAGCATCATATCAGCATGAGTTTTCTTTTTTCCTTCCTACTCAGCGGGCTATTATTTGTGGTGAAGGGGAGCCTAATAGTTCTATTGATGAGGAGTCGAATATCGGTGGTCGTTTGGACAGAGTTGATTTTAAGACTTATTCACGGAATCAGAAAGAGCAGGCTTCTCTTGTGCCACTAAGCCAATCATCATCTCTTATGCCAGTTCCACACCCAGTTTCCACTGACTCTACAGGTAATGATCCTCAGCCCCTTACTTCACTTGGTGTTGATAGTCCTGTTGCTGATGATTTGAGTCTCCCTATTGCTCTCAGAAAGGGGGTTAGAGCCTGTACTCAACACCCCATTTCTAAATTCGTGTCATATGATTCGTTGTCTTCTCCATATCATGCTTTTGTTTCATCTCTTTCTTCTGTGTGTATTCCGCAGGGTTGGAAAGAAGTCATCACTAATCCTAAGTGGAAGGTAGCTACGGTAGAGGAGATGCAAGCTTTGAATAAAAATAACACGTGGGAGTTGGTATCTCTTCCTAATGGAAAAAAACCAGTCGGATTTAAGTGGGTGTTCACCATTAAGTACAACACAAATTGGACGATTGAACGGTACAAAGCAAGACTAGTGGCCAAGGGATTTACCCAGACATATGGAATAGACTATCAAGAAACTTTTGCCCCGGTAGCAAGGATGAATTCCATCCGAGCTATTCTGTCGTGTGCTGCTAATTTGGGATGGCCTCTACATCAACTAGATGTGAAGAATGCCTTTCTTCATGGGGATTTGGAGGAGGAGGTATATATGGATGTACCTTCGGGATTCTCATCTTAGTCTACAGTTAGAAAAGTTTGTAGATTGAAGAAGACCTTGTACGGTTTGAAACAATCTCCTAGAGCGTGGTTTGGTAGATTCCTAAAGGCAATGCTGGGTTTGGGTATCAGCAAAGTAATGCAGATCATACCTTGTTTGTCAAACGCAATGTACAAAAGGTAAAATTACTTATTGTGTATGTGGATGACATAGTTGTGACAGATAATGATGAGGAGGAGGTGACCCATCTCAAGATGCTGTTAGCCAAGGAGTTTGAGATAAAAGATCTTGGTCCTTTGAGATACTTTCTTGGGATTGAAGTTGCCAGATCTGATAAAGGCATCTTCATTTCTTAAAGGAAGTACATTCTAAATCTTCTTGAGGAAACAGGCATGTTGGGCTGCAGACCAGCTGAGTCACCAATTGAGACTAATCATCGTCTTTGTAGTGAGGTTAGTGAGCTTGTGGAGAAGGAAAGGTACCAAAGACTTGTAAGAAGACTGATATATCTATCTCATACTTGTCCAAATCTAGTGCTAAGGCAGAATACAGGGCTATAGCACATGGAACATGTGAACTAATGTGGCTTCAATCTTTGCTAAGTGATATAGGGCTTGATTGCAATGATCCCATGACTTTGGATTGCGACAACAAGGCTACTATTAGTATTGCACACAATCCTGTTCAACATGGCCGGACTAAGCATATTGAGATTAATAGACATTTCATTAAGGAGAAGTTGAATAAGGGTGTGGTATGTATGCCTTTTGTTAAGTCTGAAGATCAACTGGCGGATGTTTTTACTAAGGGTCTTAGGCCTCGTTTGGGAAGCGGTCGGTTTAGCCAAAAAGTCAAAAAATTACTAAAAAAATCAAAAAGTCAACAACCCATACCAAAAAGTCAAAATTTCTCTTTTCTTTCTACTTTTGCACATCTTTTCGTAAAAAATCAAAAAGTCATCCCAAACATACTAGTTTTTTTTAACTCATATTTTAGCCAAATAGCCAAAAAGTTACTAAATTAGCCTGTTCCCAAACAAGGCCTTAGTAGTAAAATCTTTCACCCTATTTGTTGCAAGTTGGGCATAAGAGACATCTTTACACCAACTTGAGAAGGAGTGCTAAGTGTTAGGGGTAGTTTGGTCTTTATGCATTATTCTTATTAGTATATATAGTTGTGTGTAAGGGGAAAACCCTATGTTTTTTAAATCAAATAATAGAGCTGTTGTTTCTCTCTCTCTCTCTCTCGGTTGAACTTCTTCTCCTTCTCATCTATACGTTCAACAGTAACAATAGTTTGATGATCCCAAGATAATCATGAGCATCAATTGCTCATATCATAAATGAATCAAAAACTAAAAATCATTTAACCCACACTTAAGAAGATTTGTATTAGAGAAGTTAGAACAATCCCTTAAACAATGCCCACTCCAAGCTAGAAAAAAAAAATATGATAACCGTGACCTTCATCTGATACCATCTTAGATAAGCATTGAACGAAGACCATAAGTATTAAGTAGTAATATGCCTGACTTTGAATTGAAACTAAAGCCTAAAAATCATGGTAAAACGGACTTCTTTGATCAACTATCGTCTAAAATTGCCCACCGAAACCCGCTACTCAAGCTCTAATTGGGTCCAGCTTGCTGAAAGCTAGTTCGAAATTGGATTTGTCATATACACAAGTCAAGCTTAAATGCATTTTGAGCTCATTGATTTTCTGAGCCCATCTTGAACTAAGCTGGACAACCCTGCATATACCATAACTGTATAAAAAATAACCTAAACCAAGCTACCTGAGCTCGATTCGATTAAAGCTCCTTTGAGAATGACACAAAGATAATCAAACTAAGCTTGATCACTTTTTTAAGCTTGTTAAGCTTTCAAGTTTGAGCAACCCACTTGTTAGCTCAAGTCGGCTAACTATCCTAATGTCACTTTTCCAAAATTGAACCAAAAAAAAAATTAAAAAAAGTTACTTTGAAAAAAATATATATCAACAAACTGTGAAAACCCATTAAAGCCAATCAAAAACCCAAATCAATAACCATTGAAAACCCAAATCAATTCACTCTATAATAAAACCAAATCAAATCGAATCGAATCGAATCCCCAAACAAATAGCACTAGTCAGTTAAATCCAGCAAACGCAGATCACAGCCCAACATGATTATAAATCAAGATCAAACCCAACAAACAAACAAAAAAAACAAAGAGCGCCAAACGAAAACGAGACGAAGAAACAAACAATCAAAGGAAGCAAACCCTGAAGGAGGAGCTTCTGGGCGGTCTCGTTGGGATCCATGGAACATTCCTTGAGCATTGCATATATCTCCTCTTCACTGTGATTGCCCGTGATCTCCTTTATGTTTTGGATCATCTTCCGAACACTGTTCGGGATTGAAACCCTAGCCCCACTGCTCATCTTTACAAACCACGAATATAGCTCTATATATCTATAACACTAGATGTATCAATCTATATATATAAAAGATTACATTTATGGAAATTGAGAAGAAGAGAGATAGAGATGGAGACGGGGAGGAGTGTGATTGTTTTGATGAATGAGATGTTGAAGAAAGGAAGAGCAGACTTGGAGGGCTTTTGAATTGATCTTTCTGTGTGAAGCATATGGAGAGAGAGAGAGAGAGAGAGAGAAGAAAAATGAAAAAAATTAAAAATAAAAATAAAAAAAGAATGGAGGAGAGGGGAGCAAATGGAGTGTAGAGCAGTAGGTTTTTTATTTTATTTTTTATTTAGGGTAAATTACATTGGCGCCCTAAAGTTTATATTTATTACAGTTCTTTCCTTTATTTGAGATTTAAAGTTTCATCACAGATTGCTCCCTCAGTCAGTTGACAATTAAGTCAACTAACAGATTTTGCTGATGTCAACAATTTAATTTGTTTAAATACTAATTTTGCCCTCACTAGATAAATTACATTGATACCTCTCACATTTTAGAAATCACAATCCTCTCTCTAAGGTTTAAAGTAACATTACCAATTGTCCCCTCGGTTAGTATTAGTTGAAAAAAAAAATCATTGAAAAAAAATTAATTGGAAAAAAATTATTTAAAAAAAAATTGTTAGCCAGATTTTTTAATTTCTATTTAAAAACCAACGTAAACTCATTTTTTGAATTTACTTTTTTTTCCTCAAATTTACAAATTGAGACAATCATTTATAAACTAAAAAAATTATCAAACAAGTTTTTATGAAAGTTTTTAAAATTTTTGTAAATATAAATTGAAAATTGAAAACGAAATGCTAGACAGGCCTCAGATGGTAACAATAGCGTAAAATTAACAAATAATTAAATAAGTTACCAACATAAAAAATGACTTATCAAAAGATTCTTATGTTATATATGGTTTAATTTTTAGAATTTTTTTTTAAAAATTAAAAATTAATTTGGTTAAGAAATAAAAAATAAAAAATAATTATTATTTTTATATAATTTTTACCTTTCGAGTGGTTAGAAATAATTTTTTACAAATTAAATATATTTCTTCATATTTATTTTTATTAAATTATTATTTTTTTTAAAATATCAAGGGGGATCCGTATTAAATTGAAACCTTAGGGGGTGTCAATGTAATTTACCCTTTAAAGTATATGTATAGGTTAAGGGCAAATATGTCATTTTAACTTAAAAGTTAACACCATCAAATAATTACACTGACAAGGGGGTCAATGTAATTTCCCAAATGTGAGGGAGAACTGTAATAAACATAAATCTTCAAAGGTGTCAATGTAATTTACCCTTTTATTTATAAGGATAAATTACAAATACACCTCTGAAATTTTCTTAAAATATGAATTATCTCATATAGTTTAGAAAATTATAAATACCTCTCTGTCATAATTTTTTATTTAACAGAATTAATTGAAAAGGTAAAATTTCTAACTGCTCACCTATACAATAATAAAATTATTAATTGAAATAAAATTTTAATATTATTAAAAACCGTTAATTAACTTGATGATTTATTAATAAAATGACATGTTTGTTATGAAATTGAAAATTTTAAGAGACATAATGTAATTTCTAGAATCACAGAAAATAATTTATAATTTAAGTAAATTTTAGGAGCGTGTTTTGTAATTTATCTTAAATATAAAGGCTTTTTTGTTTTTAATGCAACAATTTTTTTATTTTTTATTTTTTTCATACGGATGTTAAACCAAAAGAATTTTACCAGCTCGAACCTCCAACCTACCTTTTTATATTGGGTTGGTTATTGCCCTATGCAATGCAACAATTGTAATAAACTAGTGGGTGGCACACACGATGATGTGTGTGTAATTTAAATAAGTAGGAATAAAAAAATAATAATGAAATTAATATTATAATGTGTACTTAGCTTAAGTGGTATGAGTTCTCGTACTTAGACCCATGGTCATGGGTTCAAGCCTTGCCCATCTCTTTGTTTAACTTTTTTTTTAAAAATAAAAAATACTGCCACATGACATGAGGAGAGTAAAGTTTCAGGACACCATAAGAGTAAAGTTTCAGGACACCATAAGAGGTGTTCACTTTATAATAGTATAGATAGATGATACTATTTAATGCAGTTTATCTAATCAGTTATTATTTTATTGTTTTTTAGATAAATTATAAATACATTTTTTTAAATTTATTTAAAATACGAATTATTTTTTGTAGTTTAGAAAATTACAAATATTACTTTGTCATAATTTTTTATTTAACATAATTAATTGAAAAAGTGAAATTTATAACTGTTCACCTATATAAAATAAAATTATCTGAATTTTTAATTGAAATAAAATTTGAACATTTTTAAAACTGTTAGTTAACTTGATGATTTATTAATAAAATGACTTATTTGTTATTAAATTATAAATCTTAGGGGCATAATGTAATTTCTAAAATCACAGAGGGTAATTTGTAATTTAAGTAAACCTCAGGGGGTGTGTTTGTAATTTATCCTTTTTTTTGAATAATTTTATATGCATCAATTAGTGTACTAATTAATATATCAATTGATGATGTGACATAATTTAAGATATTTTTGATATTTGTAATTTATATAATGAGTGGGGTCAATAATAATATTATAATTAGTGTTGGTACGTATACTAATTGGTGCAAATAGCATCACTCTTTTTTTTTTTAAAAGGTTAAGGCACTATTTGACATAATTATAGAAGTGCACTTTTTTATTTTATATATTTTTTAAGTTATATTGTCTCTCTATTTTTTTGCACATCTTTTTTTAAAAAAATCAAAAGGTATATTTGTTTAGATCATCCCAAAATCCTCTAAATTTAGGCTCTTTTTCTTAATACCAAGCCCTTGTTTGGAATGAGCTAATTAGCTTGACTTTTTTATTTTTTTAACTATTTAGTCTAATTTAAAAAAGTTGTGTTTGGGATAAATTTAGACTTTTTTGGGTAGTTTATTTGATGGTTTTGTGATAAAAAAAGTACAATGATAATAGTTTAGATGTGACATTTTATCTTATTAACTAAATTAGTCTGTTTTGTCTCTATGATAATTTAGCCAAAATAGCTCATGCCAAACAAAACCTAAGACATCTTTACAACTATCAATTCCGTATATATTGAACTCCTTAATTATGAAAATCGTATAAATATATCATTTTTAGAAATGGTCCAGAAAAATGAAAGTAATGCATTTTTGTAATTAAGAGGATCAAAATATACAAGTTCATAAATGAGGGGTAAACTTGCTAATGTTGAGGGCCCTTGTTGTAAATAACCTTTTTTTTTTAAATTTAGAGTCATTATTTGGTGCAACTTTTTCTTATGGTTTATTAGACAAAAATAATTAAATAAGTTGAAATTTTTTTATTATCGCAGAGTTGGGAAATAAGTGCTTCTGGTTTCTATTTATTAATTGAGGAGTGTAAAAACCCACATTTAATTATTTTTAAAAGAAAATTAATTAATTAATTAATTTTATTCAGAGTTTATCTAAATTTTATATATATATATATATTAGCGTAAAAGTTAGTTTTAAATTAATCCAATTCAGTCACTAACAAAGACATTATTAAGAATAATAATTTTATGGGTGTTCAATATTTGTTGTTTATAAATTATTTTAATTAGAATTCAACATGATAATTATTCTTATTAAATACCTTAGTTAAAAATCTTAGTGTACCAATATTGAGAAACCCATACAAATACAAATACAAAAAAAAAAAAAAAATCAGAATCATATTACTTGGTGACAGAATAATGCCACTTGTTTGTTTGCATGTAAGCGTAGGAACCCTCACCTCATCATACTTCTTGGAGTTACAAGATATAAAGTGACCAGAGAATGATGAAGAGAGAGAGAGAAAGGAAAAGCCTCAGCCCTCACCCTTGACATGTTTGAATATATATGCATACTACTCTTTGACTAGAGAAGGCAAAGGAGACTTGAAAAGAAAAAAAATATCTGCAAAGTGGAGTAAGTTAACAAGAAGAGAAGATTAAGAAAGTTTCATATTTTCCTACCATTCCACTATCTCATTTCAACCTTACAACTAAACAAGAAAACCCTCTCAACCCTCTCATTTTTTTTAATTGTTGAAATTTTCAGATTATATTCATATGATAAATGACTAACTTATAGATAGAAATTTGATATATATATGTATGTAAATTTTGTGATGTGTATATCAAATATTTGAAAATATTGATAGTCTTAAAGTTATGGTATTATTGTGGAAATAGGCTTGCATGTATAGTTTATACCATTAAAGAGAGGATTGAAGATTTTATTTGGCCATTGAATCTGCCAGAATATTTATACGAATTTTTAGACAATTTTATACTCAAAATTTTGAGATGGGATTTCTTCTACAAAACTGTTTAGAATGATGTTTACTTCATCCATGCATTTTTGAAACAATTATTGAATTTTGTACGAATTTATACAGATTTTTAACCAAATCTGGAGCTATAGACAGATTTTACTATGTGTTTGAAAAATCATTAAAAATTTTATATTAAACCAAATCTGGTAATTTCTAAACAAAAAATGAAATTTGAGAAGTCTAGTTTCATAATAAATTTTTATATTATGGAATTGATTTATAAATTTAAGTATGGAATTAATTTAAGAAAATGTGATATATCTGTGTCATAAACTTTCTTGGAATTTTTAAGAATTATTTATAATTTATTTTTGGAAAATGCTTTCTAAAAAATGACCATAACATGTCTATTGAGTATTCTGTATATTTATATGAATTTTAGAGTTGTATAAGTAATTTATTTATAATTTTGTTTGCGAGATATACATTCTAAAAATTTTTGCAAATCAATGAGGAATAAAAAATTATCTCTTCAATTGTTTATTTGGACTGAAAATTTAATATTGTGCTAGTCTAATCTTGTAGATTAAAAATCCATACATGTGTGTAATTATGATTTATTTCTTCTTCTTCTTTTTGTATATAAATTATTATTTCATATCATGGTTTAAATAAATTGTTTATTTAAATTTTGTACAATTATTTATTATTATGTGACATGTGTAATATTTTATGTTGGGAATTTTAATGAATTAATATAACATTATTTGTAATTAAAAATTGAAATTATTTGTGATTAATATCAAAACTAACTGAAATAATTAACGCCATGTACAAAGTTAACAATTGACGGTTAATAGCAGTTGTTCAGAGTGAGTCCTGGTTTTAAAGAGTGTACG